TATAATATAAATTTTAAACTCTAATATAAAAAATTAAAAAATAACCCGTGCAACGCACGGGCAAAAAAAAACTAGTTACTAAGAAAGAACAACAAAGAGGATGATAAGTTAAAAAAGAACAATAAAAAAATAAATCACTAATCTATAGAGGAAAATAGAGGCAAACGCAAGGTAGAAAGATAAATTATAAAGATAAAATATTGAATGAGAATCTGCAAGACTAAGTCTCAAGAAAAATTAATAATAAAAGAAGTGGAGTAAAAGTAAGTGAAAAAGAATTAGAGAATAATGTTAAGAAGTTCTACTACTTATGTTTTAGCCAAAAACATTTATAATATAGACAATGGTAGAGAGAGAAAATTTTGGGTAAAACAAAGATTTATAATGATAAATAGAGATGCAATGAATGATTAAGAAAGAATAATATAAAATGAAAGACAAAGAAGAGTTATGATCCATTTACACAAATTTCTTATACATAAAACTTACACAAAATCTTGATTATTCATTTCTTTGTTATGAATGATTAAGATTTAATAAGATTTAATCTATTTTTTATCTTTTGTTTAAAATGATTATCATTTTTTTATCTAAAAAGTCATAATAAATCTTACACAACTTTATGTTTTGATAAGTGAAGTAAAGGCAAATGAAAAAGTATTAAGAGAATAATATTAAGAAGTTGCATCTTTTATGTTTTCAAGAAAACATGTTTAATACAAATATGTTGAAATAGAAAAAAAAAAAAAAAAGAAGAAGTCAAAATAACATATCAAATTATACATGGAATGTTTAAGAAGGAATGGTAGAAATGAGAAAATAATAAAAGAAATGATAATGTGTAAGATAGAGAATTGAATATAATAGTGTAAAATGCAAGGGGAGAACCTGAGAAATGGAATTTTCAACAAAAAATATTAAGAGGTGGAGTAAAGATAAACAAAAAGTTAAATACCAAGAAAATAATGTTAATTAGTTGTGGCTTTTATGATTTGACCTAAAAACATTTCTAATATATATAAAGGAGAGAGAGGAAGACAAATGGGTTAAGAAGAGATATAACGATAGAAAGATACATATGCAATATATGATTAAGAGAGAAAGAACAATAGAGAAGAGAGGATAAGTAATAAAAAATAATAATACATATATATACTTG